AGTCCCCAGTCCAGATTGCTCCAGCCTCCAGCCTCCGAGCCTCTATTCTCGCTCCAGACCAGGCAGACCTACGTCTGAGTCGGTTTGACCAAACCCTCCGCCCCATGAGCAAGGCGATTATTCCACGTATACTCATCTTTTGCGCCTTGTGACGAAATCTTGCGGTCCAGCTGTCTTGTGAGCCGCATGCCAGCTTCATTTATTTCCTCCTATTCCCCCCCGGGGCCCCGTGCGTCTAACTTCTCTCTTCCTTCCTTCCCCCTTTTGCATTTGCATCTGCATCACATCCCGAAAGTACTTGTGCCTGCGCACTTCAAATTCAAGCATCTAGTGACCGAAAGCACCAACAGCCTCTCGGCCAGCTCGACACGCCCATCGATACCTCACGATCGTACGCCAGCCAGAGTGTCGGAATCAGTCCGTCCTGCCAAGTTCACGGCGCACCCAACGCAACCGCATGAGTAGGAGCTCCCACTTGGCTTCTCACCAGCGCCACCAGCCCTCCACCACACCCCATCTCACTCCGCTCTCTGACACGTTCCCCAACATTGCTGTTATCCCTCTTCCGACTGGTCCCGGTGCCACCGCCGCAACTTGTGCACCGTTGGCCGAAGGTCGCAGCGTTAAGAGTCAAAAAGACGCTCACACATATTCATGACTCGTCCGGTGCCGGCGCCCGGACTCCTTTTTTTCTTGATAAAAATCTCAAATCCCCCTTTTTCTTTTTTTTGGGGGGGTTGCTTCAACTCTCAACCTCGAAAGAAAATCCCCGGAGTCGAGACGCGGTCGGGCTTGCAGCTGAAATATTGAATTCAGCACGCAGGCAGTCTATTTGCTTCAGCTGAGACTTAAATACGACGCTTTCGATCCGCAGCCCAGCGCTGTGGTTCAAGTCTCCACAATTTGCTGCGTCTGTTTACTGAATCTCGTTACTTTTGCCCCTCTGAGCTCCAGCTTGACTAATTCGGGGCCCACCACAATCCAACTCCGATCCCGATATAACAGAGACTCCATCTCCTTTCCATCTCATCTCCTTGACTCAAACATCAACCATCCCGCACATTCTAAAAATATCTTCTTTACATACAAAGAAGATATTTTGTTACTGCCTCCGCGCTGGCACTCCCCATCAAAGACCAGCGCACCAACGAACAACACAAAGACGCGACGAACCAAGACGCGACGCAACCCACGTCGCCACCACAGACCCAGCCTCACACATCCTCCACTACCATGTCGCCCAAACAGGAGCCTACCTACTACCTCGTTCCCAACATGCGTGCCCTAGACACGTCTGCCCGCGAGGTCGATCTCGACTCGTATGCGTGGATACAACCGATTGTTATTGACGACGAGGACTTGATGTTTGGTGGGAAATCACTGAGCGCGTGGTATGAGGAAGACCGTCGACGACTGAGCAGTGGAAGCGACGATGGAAGAGCCGAGCACAGCCAGGATGAAGAGAGACGAGGTCGCGAGCGCGTAAGGAGACACTACAAGGGAACCAAGAACCACCGACAGTGAAGACCTTGCGCGAAAAGACCTTTCAAGTTCTGGACTCTTTTTATCTTATGCATATCAAGCTGGAGCTTCACGGGACGAACTTGGGATCGTAAAAGTGGATGGCATGGCCCGGAGCCAAGTCGTCACAATTATACGGCTTCAAGCCCACCCTTGGCTGAATCCTACATCATCGCATCACCGCATCAAGACGATAGACTTCTTATACCCATTCAAACTCGCGACGAATACACGATGGCGAACTTGGATAGCTCTGGCATCAGAGACTCTTAATTTTGTATAGAGGGGAGAATGCGCACTCACTAGGAGTTTTGGGGACCTTTTTTGCTCGAATTACTTTCGCTTTAGCATGTGCATTGCATTGTGGCTCAGGATAACAAATTTGTCACGGAGGGTGCATTGACAGCTGACAGGGTGTCGGCACTGAATGGCAGGAATACCATAAGTTTTATTTTGATTTGTGTTTCCCAGTGACTGGTGTCATGATTTGCCTTTTGTCATGCATCAACCGTAGAGGTAAAAAGTACTTGACCCGGAAAGGAGTCTGCACATGGGGGCCTCGGGGTACTAGAATACTGAGGCATGTTCACGACGTCATTGAGATGACTATTCCATCAGGAGTACGTATATTTTTTTCTTAAAAAAAAATCTGGTGTAGTATCCCGCGGGAAAAAAAAAAAGTCGCCCCCTCGTCCATCTTCACCCACCACAGCCACGTGTGTTGGCACGCCATACCGACACATCTCATAGCTCAAGCTCCAAATACAAACTTTGCGCCGTTGGAATGAGCAACCATGATAGGCCAGGCATCAAGGCTGGGCGGAATTTCGACTATGTACTACCACCCACCCCACCTTGTCCTCTCGATGGCTTGTAGGAAAACGTGGTGGCTGCCGGTTCTCGGGGTTGCCGGGTATTGTGTGTCATTCTCCAGTCGGTGCGGCGCGTTGGGTGAATAGGGAGAATAGCAGGCGGCGGGCTGTGTTTAGGGGCTTGCGGTTGTATTGTGGGAAGCGGTATCATGAGATGCGACTCGTTGGTTTGCAAATCTAGGCGTGGATTGCGAGATTTACGGAGAGGGAGACGGATTGCGCCTATTCAGAACGCTTGGATGCTGACACGTGAGGCTTGTGACGGGATGGTAGTGATGGGGCTGGGGTTTTCTTGGTCGGGAGGTCTTGAGCCTGTACTGAATCATGTATTGATTGGTTGTGTACGACTGACTTGGTCGTGGACAACATCCGGGCATTGTAGGACATGACCATCTGAAGACCTGCCTGCCTGGCTGGCAGCTACCAGTTCATACTTGTTCCAAAGTGGCTGTTGGTCAAGATGTCTTGACGGCCTTTGTTATTTGCAGAGTCGGCTGTGCGTCGGGCTGCCGGACAGGGCCCTTTGCTGGAAGAGCAGACGTCGACATGCGATAGAAGGACATCTGGATCAACATCAAGAGAATATGTATGTCAATACTGGGCGGAGCTCAAAGCATGTCACATTAATTAGGCTGTCGGTAATAACCAGACCATATCGACGCTAGCTTCAGTCCCCGACGACTCCCCGCTAGCCGCCGCTAGCCTCTCCGCATGAGGTCCAGGAACCAGACCATACGATGCGCTTCAACCTTGCCCAAGTTCTTCCTCGTCACACTCAACATGCTGCGGCGACGATTCCTCGACCGCACGCCAATGTTGAACATGATGGATGCGAACCGGCCGCCATGGTGTCTCAACGCAACGTCATTCCACGTCCCATGCTTCGAGATGAGAAGAGGTCATGCGTCCCCGCCTTCTGCTCCCAAGATGGCTTCGTCCACCAGCCGTCGGGCTTCCAACACCGAACGGCCGTAATTTAGGAAACGTCTTCTAAGCGCTGGCATCAGCAGGATCCTTACGACTTCCTATATTATCAAGAGGTTCCTAACCGAGCGCTCAAGTGACGCACAATTCTTAGCGCCTGGCAGAATTCATTATGGCCTGTTCCCGGATGACGCAGCGGTAGTTCTTGACCAACTCCAATGTTTCCTTTCATCAAGAACCAAGAAGATAGAACAATGGCATCTTTCCGGCTTCATTGAATTTGGCCCAAGTGGTACACCCATGCCCAACAATGTCAAGAAGAGGTCTTACGAGCTCAGCAGCAGAGACGCCATCTTCAATCCGCAAGATCAACTAGAACAGCGCCACGACGCCAACAATGAATCTCCTCGCGATACAACGAAAACACGAGTGTGTTGTGATGAAGCCGTCTACCTTTACCGTTGGTAACAGGACATTAGACGCAACGTTAGGGCTAGCATCACAAAGTCATCATCGTGGCAGATACAAGAGCAAGGAGGCTGGGTGAAAGCTCGGAGGCAAAGGAGCGCATGTACGTGGCCACAAGACTAAGCTCCTATCAATACCTGTTCATGACAACGGCAACCCGAGTCCTTGCGGCTCAATACGCAACTGGAACAAGCAAACTTGGTGTAATTTCCAGTCATCATAACGTCGGTCACCATAATTTATGACCAAACTTGACCCCGAAACAGATTCGGATCAAAGAAAATTTATGGCATGTGAAGAAACATGGCTTTGCAGACTCTGTCTGGAGCACGAAAAACAACAAGAATAATACTTTTATGAAGCAGCTGAATCAACAATGTGTCTCGTATCGTGACGCCTAGGGTCTAAACCGAGTAACCGAGTTGAAGCGAGCGGAAAGAAGGCCTGCTCGCATTGTCATACAGTCAGACAAGACGGTGCTCTGGTAGACATGCTATGCTGTCTTTGACAAAGGGCCCGTTCATTGCCGAGATGTGTCAAGGTTTACACAAGGTTTCATCTCGTAGTTTTATTCAACAAGCTCACGCCACGATGCCCCCGGAAAAGATGAGAAAAGGATTATCCTTTTTGCTTTGTGTAAGTCTTGGTAGCTTGCCCAATCCGCTTCCCCCATCCAGTTTTAGTATCTGCCGTGCCGTCCATAACCTTTGAGCCAGCATGTGTTGGCCGCGTACGTGTTGCGCTTTTACTTGGACCGGTGGTGAAGCCGCGGCCATCCCACTACAAGTTCTTAGTCTAATCCAACTTAACGTTTATTCCAAGCATGTTGCACGAGACTATAGTTTGCCGGCTTGTATCCGCTACGGGCTTAAGTGTGCTTGTCTTCTTTCCGAAGCAGCGCCAAGCGCCAGATTCTCACGCCGTTGCAGTCCATGTAAACTATACTGATACATAGAGACACACAACCTTTTCACCAATACGCATCGGCAAAGGCAATACATTTTACTCTCAGCTGATGGACTCGGAAGAAATCACATAAAAGGATGTCACGCCCCCCGACAGAAAAAAAAAAGAAGAAAAAATCATCTCACTCATCCTTCACCCACCCACGAATATCATCTCTTATATACACAAAACCCGCAGCTCTCAGCAGCATTCCCATTTTACAAACATCCTTTCTGCATCTAAACTACAAGACACATCAACTCCTCCAAAATGCGATTCGCCCTCGTTGTCGCAGTCACCTCTGCCATCGCTCTGACCGACGCCGCCCCCGTCGTCCAGACCGAGGCAGCCGTCTCCGATGTCCCTCATCGCGACCCGGCCGACTACTACAAAGTCGTTGCCGCACAGCCCACCGAAACGGCCTCGATCCCACCTCACAAGAAATACAGGGGCGTTCCTCAGACCACCGAGGGGATCACGGTTCAGAACTCCAAGCGCTGGCTCATCTTTGGAGACCCGACCCTGAACAGGAACAGGACGGAGCCAGTGCGCCCTCAACTTCCAAAGACGAATGTTAGCACGAACCGCTTCCCCAGGCCCAGGCTTCCACTGATACCGTGCTGCGGCCTTTGCGAAACCTTTTTCGAGAAGAATCCCTCGGTTTTGGGGGTATTTGTGTGCCCGTACACACCGGCTAGGAAGCCTTCACCTACTACTACCGAGGGACAAGGTCCCAAGGAGACTGGGAAGCCTTCGTCTACTGTTACTGAGGGACATGGTCCCAACGTCACCGAGAAGGCTTCGTCTACTATTACTAAGGGGCGTGGAATCAGGGTCACCGAGATGCCTTCGTCTACTATTACTCTGGAACAGGGACCCAAGATCACCAAAATGCCTTCATCTACCAAGGCACATGGACACGAGGAGACTATGATGTCACAGCTTTAGAGCTATTCAAGGCATGTCTCATGTCTTGGCTTTTGGAGCGAGTCGAGGACATGTTTGGTCCCTCTGCTATTCTATCCTTATTACATTTTCCTATGTTTTATTACCCGCTGACTTTGGATGGGGCGAGTCGCCCTAGCATATCGGAAGCCATCTCCAAGTGTGGCATTTGGACAAGGAGGCTTGGGGGCATCTCTTGCAGGAATTGCCCTGCTACTTAGTTAGACACTAGCTGTTTAACCCTAGTCGTACACCATCCAGCAATAAAAACTAGTTCGTCTCCAAGATTATGAAGCCTTGTGATCTTGGCCTCACCCCAACGCGTGTATCTCGACGTCATCAAAGGCACTTCAGCCGAGACGCTACCATAGGGGAAATGCCAGAATCGTAATAGATATCCAACAGAGTCCAGATGCAAGCCGCATTTCAGATCCAGCCATCTATTCCTCCGTGGCCCGAATGTAAATGTGCACAAGATTATGATGCACACCCGCCTTGTCCTCACTTACACGCCATCAAGAACAACCCAACCGATAGGCGCGACGTCTTCCAAAAAGAATTTAAAAGATTTTAAAAAGATTTTTTAAAAAAAAACAATAATATCAACTTCAGCCAAGTAAATATTCCCCTCGCACCTTTCTCCCCGTCCAACAACATCTCACAACATGCCAAGCCAATGTTCAACCACGCCTCCACAACAACAGCCGGCTCAGGCATCGGCGCCGGCGAGCTGGTGACCAAGAACGTAGCCATCTCACAAGACAAGATGGGACAAGCACATGGCCCGTATTCGGGTATACTTGCCATTATTTGTAGGGATTATCTTGTTTTGCACGGTTCCTACTGCCCGCGGTGATCTTTTGAACCATCTCTTCCATCTGCATGAAAACCATCCTTCTCACCTTTGCCTCCAAAACACCGACCCGACGCACCCTCATAAACAAGCCACGCTCTCCAATCCAACTACCCTACCGTCAAGCAGCGATAAATGTCATAATTACTCAGTAAATCGCCCCCCGGAACGAGAACAGCTCCAACATCAAAACAAATCACGTGGCCCCACGATCCGTTGTATCACGTGACTCCAGCAGCTAAATCTTCCCAGAGCTGCATCAACACCAAGAACAAACGAACAGCCACCACGCGACATCGCATCACGCATTCCCCCCCCTCCCGACTCGCTCCCGTCTCGGCTCTCACCACAGACACCATGTCCGGCGGCCACAAGCCCATCCGTCTACCGCCCCTCAAAACCCTGCGCGTGCACAACCCCAAGCGACAGCCCGAAAACCCCTGTATCGCAATAATGTCCAGCGTGCTCGGTACGTCCCCCCCCCCCCCCCCCCCCCCCTCCCTCTTTTTTCACCCACACGTAGTGCTTACAAACAAGTGCAGCGTGCTGGGCCTCCGCGGGCTACAACGCCTCGGGCTGCGCCGCCATCGAGAACCAGCTCCGGAAATGCATGGATGGGCCTGCGCCGCCGCCCGCGCCCGCAAATACCGTCAACTACCACCTCTCGAGAATGCAGAAGCACGTCACGAGTCCGCGGAAGCAAAAGTAGAGAATCCGCGTCGACTATCAAATCATGAAAGAAGGCTGTATCCGCGTTTGTTGGGAAGGGGGTTTTTGGGCAAAAAAGTCTGATCGTGTACATATGCGTCTGGGGCATGGAACTTGTGCATTTCACGGCGTTTTCATTGGCAATTTTTTTGTAAATACTATACATGTACGATGTACGGGGAGCAAACGGCCCACTGACGGCTGGTGTACGATAGACGTCGACATCATGGAGCACCAGGGAAATCACAGCTGTACAAGACTACGGGGTTGGCATACTATTTGTAACATCCGTGACCATTTCATTCACACCAAACTTCTAAATCGCTCATCAGAACAGCCAAGTGTCTGAATCAGTGTCTATGTAACTTGGCTGAGAAGCCTCATTCCCTCCTTAATTCCACATCTACTATGCACAACCCCAAACTGTTCCAGCTCTCCATGCCACCGTCTGTCTATCCAGCTTTGCAGCCGCCAACAAAAGAAAATCCAGCTCAGTGTCCATAGAGCGCCAAAAAAGAAAAGGAGGAAGAAAAAATAAACCGAGGTTGGAGGATGGGCAGAAGGCAGGGGGGGGAATAACAGGAAAATACAATCCCAAACGAGTGTGTGGCCGTATATACTTTCAAACCAAAATAGAAAAGGGAAAAAAAGAGTGAAACCCAGGATGCGCCCAGCCTTCCAATGCCTGGCTCCGCGAACCTCCCAGTAGCGCCTATAAATCATGTCCATAAAATTTGCCCAAAAGATGAGATATGATGCCATGCTACAGCCTTGCGGTACCAATGTCTCTACAGAACATCCAATGAAATGGACCGAGTCCACATGCAAGCAACCTTGCGGCAACAAAGTCTGCTGTTCGGCCAAGGTAAGAAGACACACTGCCGCGAAACCGGCTGTGGCAGTCCAAACAATAAAAAAAAATGTAATAAGAAAAAAGGTCAGGATCAAGACTCAGAATGGCGTCCAACATCAACAAATCAACTCCCAGTCAAGCTTAAAACTGTGCAGTCATACTAGTCGCTGCGATGCCGTTTAAATATGTTGAGTTTGCTGGAAAATGGGCGAAGGAGGGCAGAGTAGGGAAGAATTGTCCGTGTTTGGAGTCGTCGTTCGGAATTCGAGAGGGGCTCTATACTCTAAGATTGCGAATGCTGGCATGTTCTTGAACGCCTACTCGTGCCAAATGTGGTCGGCAAATGCACTCAGTAACTTCGTGCGACGCCCATTGAGAATAACAAGGCCAATTTGCGACGTAGCAGTCTCATTGGCCTTCTCCAACACAGAAGAGCTCTATCTCTCCAACGCCGCCGGAATACATATTTCGGACTCCCTCGCGCCACTCCATAAAGGCAATCTGAATATCGTCATCGCTTTCAATGGTGACAAAGTCGCCATCTTCGTCACGGTACCGGAGCTTCAGCATACCCTTGCTAATGCTGCTCGTCATGAATCGTGCAAGTTTAGCGTCAATTCGATCGATCAAGGATTGATAGGTGATATTAAATGCAACCACGAGCGTCACATAGTTCCCGCTATCACAGTTGACCCTGACCTTCAACTGCGTGGGCATGGGCAAATCTGGACTCGCCACGGGGTTGCTGGTCGGAGGGAGCGTCGCCGTACCGAGGGATGGGGACACGTTGCGTGAATTCGCAGTTGCAGAGTCGACTCGCAAACCGTTGCCGCCTGTGGGTGTGTTTCCACGCGGATAGGGTTGTTGGTGAGGAAAATGAGACATCGTGCCCCCGAGGCTTCCCGAGTGCTGGTGCATTCGCTCACGTTGGGCTCCCGGGCTTTGTGTGCTGGTTCGAATTGGTAAATCATTGCGAGGCGAGCCTGTTTGCGATCGCGGGATGCTGCCGTCATGAGCTGGGTGTAAGTGCTGAGGAATGCCAGGCACGGCTGGAATATTGCCCTGGCTCGGTTGACGATGTCGAGGGATACCTGCAACATTGACATCCGGTGTGCTGTAAGACCTACTTCTTTGTTGCTGAGCCGCAGTTTGACTATGGGTGGCCATTGCGGGCAGAGAAGGTCCACGAGCAGTCCTGCTACCCATGCCAATTGGATTGGGGGAGGAACCATCTCGTGACGGGGCCCGTGGCATTGAAGGAGAGTAACGCGGGTCGTCCCAAACGGCCTGTGGTGTACCGGCCTTGGGAGGGAACTGATAAGCAGGCCCAGGGAAGATGCCGCTCGTGGTGCTTGTACGAGAAGAGGCTGGAGACTCGGCCACTGGGGAGAAGTAGCTGTCTCCTCCCCTCGAGCCGGGAGATGGGGCGCCATTGCCTTGGATCTGTATATTGAGGGGAGCGGGCGGCATAGGCAATGGGAAACGCGGCGGTGGAGCTCTTGCGATGCCTGCAAGGGATTGTGTGCTCTCCCCTGTGGCAGAACGTTGTCTCAGACTGGAGCTTGAAGCGGTGCGAGGCACGGCGGTGCCCATTGATGAAGGCATTGGAAACTGGGCCGGTGCTGTTGCTGGCCCATAGTCTTCGTCGTCTTCTTCGTCCTGCTGTAGATAGGGGTTCTCAAGGCCGCCGGCTTGGTCTCTGGTCCATGCAAAGTCGTTGTTGATGGATTCTTGGCTGGTGGAGAGCCGTGGCGCATGTTCTTTTCTCTGTGTCTCTAATCCGCCTGCCCATTTCCTCATTGTCTCCTCGTTAAGGAACTTGATCGTGAAATTCTCGACACCAGGGTCACCCTTCCACCAAATCTGAACGCTGTGAGAACCTACTAGAGTGGTTAGCCAAAAAAAAAACAATAATAATCGCCATCAGTCAACCCCTTTTAGTGTTCGCGTCACCTACCAGGTTTTGAAAGGGACACAATGTCAGTCACGTTAGTCATGAAGATTCTGCCCTTTAGCTGAAGCTTTGCATTCTTATTCCTGATTTTGGGTCCCGTGGATCGCGTCCTGTCTTTCTTGCCAGAGGCTTCCTTGCAACACAGCAAGATGCATTCAAAAAGGTAAATTTCATACTGCATCAACAGAAGGTTAGTTTCTCCCGATGCGAACATGGAATGGGGCTATTACTTACATCCTTCTCTTGATCACTCTTGCCAGTAATAACGCCATACACACCGTGCAGGAGTAGCTTGCCGAATGATTCCACCTTATGTGACTTCCAATCGTCTACTCGAGTGATGAGTTCCTCCAGAGCTTCATCAAGAAGGTCCCGGTTTACGGCTTCGTTGGCTTTGAGCAAAACTCGTTCCGCGGCTTCACATCCCGTGTTTAGATCGTCTTTGACTTCCTCATCTTCCGATTTTTTGGCGAGGTCCTTGAGCAACAATGGATATTTCACCAATCGCTGCATAGGTTTTAGCAAAAATCCGTCCAAGGTGTTAAAGTCTGCGGCGACAGGGTGCTCTGATTGTTGAATTTTCTCGAAAACTTGGTTGGCGATTTGAGCAGCCTTGCGCTGATTGGCGATAAAGGGCTGGTAGATGTCAAAGGCATCTTCGTAGAAACAAAACGGGGCACCCCATCGCTGGACGGCCTTTGGCAAGGAGTTTGTCGTTTCAACTCGAATGAGAAATCGTCGCTGAAAGTCGAGAATCGCGTTGATGTTGAGAAAGATTTGGTGCACAACATCTCCTGGGATAAGTCCCTTCTGTTCCAACGTCTTCTTCAAGTCGTGCAAGTTTTCCAGGTCCTGGACATATTTTCGCTCGGTATCAACCAGTTCCTTGACAATGTGATCCCTGTAGCTCATTTGCGCGCCCCCTGTTGCGACGGCAGGCTCGTCCTCGGGGTAAGGTTGAAGTTGTAGCAACAGGCCACGTTGCTCTGCCAGATCAAGCACGTAGTTGACGACCTGCGTAACCTTGACGAAACCGCTTGTGTCGTTTCCCATCAAATCTGTAATGACAAAACTCTGGGCGGGGGGGACTTGCAATTCCTTCATACACGCCTGCACAAACTTGAAAATGGCAATCTTGGACTTTTTCGCTTCGGATGCATTTGGGTCTTCCACCTTGAGCGGTTCCGTGGGCTGTAGCGAGTTGTAGATTGTGAGAAGGGGATACCCCGACCGGAACAGATTCCACAAGGGGTCGACAGGATCGGTAGGATCAAGTTGCTCGAGAAAAGGTCCAAAATCGGGCACTTGACTTAATCGTTGTTTAAGGGAGACACAAATCTGGTAGAGCGATCGTGAAGCATCCGCCTTTTGATTGATGATGTTGGCCGTGGCCACGACAGATCCGCCATTCTGCCCTGGAACCACGGTTGCAGCACTACTCAGTGAATTCAGCGACGTTGATGAACTGGTATACGCCGTCGACCCTGACAGCTGGCTACCGCGGGGCACACTGTTCATGTTGTTGTGTGGAAGGACGCTGACGCCGCTCTGGTTGGGGTGGAAGACCGGAGCGGTGTTATTTCGAAGCAGAGGGGCATGGGCCATGTCCGTTTACTCCATGCGTCCAGGAGAAATGAAAGCCCCAGCGCGAACAATGAAGGGCACAGGTGTTTGTCGTCGAGGTGCAGGAATGAGGGGTTGCTCGTCGTAGCCAAAGTACAGTCGTATGGAGGATAACCGTATGTTCGTTCGTCAACGAGGGGCGTTGTCTTTGTTTGTCACGCCCTCCCTTCTGGCATGGAGTGGTCTCAAATTTGTAGCCTTGGTCGCGTCATTCAACAAACAATGGTCAGGCGAGACGATTCACGAGAAGGCGAGAAATGCAGTTGCCCGTCCTCTGGCAGGGAGCAGATGTTGAATAGGGCGGGACAAGACGGCAGGTCGAGTGTAGGTGGTTTTTTTTTTCCCTTCTTGGATGCGCAGACCAACGAAGGCGGTGGTAGACGCAGGCGGATTTTTGGAGGGGAAGGCGACTCCTATCTCAGCTCAAATCGCTACCGAACGACTCGCGGCCAGCAACGATGTGGCAAATTACCGTCTAATAGGTGAGTCCCGACAAGTCGAACTAACGATGTCTAGGAGCAGGCGACAGGCACCGTCAATTCGGGGGCGAGCTGAGAGATGCTGCAGGCGACGATGCAGACGCAAGTACGCAGTTCTGTATGTTTGGTTTGGGGGGGGCAGACAGCTCAGTTAAGGCGGTCGAGGCCGAGGTCGAGGTCTGGTTGCTCAATGCAAGGTGCGGTGGCCACAGCCAACGGTCCAGCGTTCCAATGCCCCAGTGTCCCGGTGCTTTCCCCCCTGGCCAGTGTGGGAGTGCCTGGCGCGATGTCCAGGAAACAGTCGACTCGAGAGCGCCAGGGCATTTGCCCGCTGTTCCAGAGTGGCTCGCAGTGGCTCTCAGTGGCTCACGTCCGCGCAACTCAAAGTGGGGCGCGTGGGTCTGTGGGATCGGGACTGACGGCCTGCCTGACTCTTCTCCAGCGAGCACGGCGGTGTTCTCGTCGAGCAACGAGTAATTGGTTGGTGAGTAGTAATACTTATTAATGCAGCGCAGAGGCCAGAGGCTCGCGGGCTATTGTCTTTATTATTGGGGAGATGCGGCCTTGGCAACACCGGTGCCTGCGTGTGACGAAAGTGAGGCAGATGCAGGCGTATTGTACTCCGTACAGCCAAACAGATTGCTGGACCAGGCGAAGCAAGAAGCCGGTAGATCAGACAAGACCACAGAAACAGGGAGTTGGGGGCGGGCGGCCAGAGTCTATTACGTGCCTGGTCCCTTGGTCCCCTTGGTCCCCTGGTGCTATTCATTGTCGAGCGACGGGGAACCCGGTTGGCATTCAACGTTCGGAGAGGGGAGCTTGAGCCCCGACGCATGAACCAGTGCACAGCGGCCAGGCTGCGAGAGACGTGGCGGCAAGCAAGTGTCTGGCGTCTGGTGTGAGTGTGAGTGTGAGTGTGAGTGGGTGCAGGCCACTGGTCCGTTGGCGGTCCGCTAGTGGAGGGGCAGGGGATCAAACTGGTGGTGACATGAACAGGCGGCACTGGAGCATTTGGGGCCCATGTCGCGTTTAAAACTTTACCATCAAACGTATAGACACCAGTCCTACTCAAGAAGGCTACCTCTAGCCTAGGTAAAGTACTTGAGTAGGTATGTACTTTTATTAGTAATACCTTAACAAGTAGGTTGGTCCTATTCAATAGGTACCCCAAGCGCAGGAGCGAGGCTAAACCACTGCTCGGTAGACAACGCTAGACTAGGGCTATGTCTAGTCTCTGGGCCTGTCTGGCAGAAGTTGGGCTGCAAAGCATGGATTATTTTGACTGCACTCAAAAGGACGGAGTAGTTTGCCATCAATCGATGTAGGTAACTACCTACTTAGACCCAAGTATGTAGGTGGGCATGTACGCCGCCGCCGAGATGCAGGTATCGCCGTCATCATCGCCAGCCTGGACCTGCGTGTGGCTGACTGCAAATACATGCACGAAGCGACTTGTTTAATTCAATCGGCTTCTCAGCCCCTCCTGCGGCGCTCTGATCTGATGGTCCAGCCGTGCGTGTATGGGGCCCTCCGATCTCTCTTCAATCTTCCGAATCAATTCACTGTCGCTCGCTGCCGTGGGCTGGAACAGTTGGGCTGGCCTCTGCCGTTCCTCCACCAGCATCGGGTCTATGGGCTGCCAAGTTCGACGTTGGGTTCCCAAAGTTGGGCTGCTCTGATACAACAATGCTACCAGACCTCCGTAGCCCCGAGTGCTTTGTCCCTGTCGTCGCCGTCCCGCTTGACAGACGACCAGGTACGCATGCTGAATTAGGATCAGCCGTAGGGTCCAAGCAAGCCCTCTTTCTTGCGTCCATACATACGTACCAAACTTCGTCCCCAATACTCAACTTTGTGTGTCACGCTTGGCACTTGTAGATCATATCTGCCCCCAATTAATACTCCGTATAGCCTGCATGGCGTAGGTATGTACATACATCCTTCATACCGGGCCCCTTCTTCTGGTCAGGGTGGGCTCATCACGATGCTAGTCAGGGTGTCGCTCTGCGCCGAAATCTACAAATGCCCACCATCCAATCGTCAAAGCTTGGGCTGGGCAGTTGAAACCCTCGAGTCAACGACGGCTACCCATCGGGTCACCATCCAGCGCCATGGAACCGTGATAGGCTATTGCACAACGTCAGCACCTGTCCAAGTGAAAATGGAAAAGGGGGTCGGTCCCTCGTTAGAGTGGCGTCTTTGTTTCGAAGACTGCCACCGGGTTCGCTGGAGCGCCGTTTGGTGTTTCGCCAACGTCATGTGCTTGAAGGCGGCGGCACCATAGGATGGCACCACCACATTTCGGCCCTTTGATACGGAGTTGGAGTAACAGATGGAGGCCTGGGTTGACCTTTGTCCCCCGGCCTTTTATGTTTTATTTCTTGTTGGGTGTGTCCTTGCCACATCAGGCACAAGGAACATGTATGTATATGGATAGATTCCAATAGTCACTGGCTGGAGTGAAATGCGCATTGGGTGAGCATCAGCTGACGACGTCAAGAAAGACTAGCCGCCGACTTGTGTGTGGCATGACGATTTTTCGGGGATGTTTTTGTCGCATCTTTCGACAAGTACATACATAAAGTATGTACATACGGGGGGGCCATCGGGGAGCCAAACAAGGTTCAGCAGACGGGATAAGTGCCTATCCTGATGTTCTGCTGCCAGGCTGGTGGGGGAAGAGGGGAAGTTGATTTTGGGAACTTGGGGACCTTGCGAGCGCAAAACCGCGCCAAGCCAGCCGCTTGTGTGCTTGTCTGCGATCCATGCACAACAACATCCAAGTTCTAGCCTTCCGGCCATTCACTCACTCAAGCATGCAATCACAATGCGCCTTTTCCAACCTACCCTTCGGCACGGCCTCGACAAACTCCACAACTGGTTCGGCCGGTACCATCCTCCTAGCCAAAGCAGCCCGCAGCCACTTTCCATTGCTTTTTCCAACCATGGACGCCATGTGAAGGGCGAGGGAGGGTACCTGCGATGCATGGCCATCATGCGTCTCCATTTTACACGGTCCTTGTCTATGCAGAACCGCATGGTTACGACAGTAGATCTGAGGTAACCAGTACCGAGTACATGAAGATGTTCGTTGGCATGCGCCATCTGAAAAACACCAATTACTACTACCTAGGTAGTTACTGGGTCGTGGTAAAAGGTGGCGAGCCGGCATCCGAACTGGACAGCTGATTGTCTGCACTTATAATTCCTAGGGCCATGTCTATTTCTAATCGGGGACGAATACAAATCATCTTTGTTCCTCTAGGCTAGATGATGAGGCTGGAAAGTCCTCAGCCGAAAGAATGCCTTCGAGTCGGGAGTACAGCTACGGTCCAAGAATCGCTTCATATCATCCCAATGCAGGCGCTCTGGGGCATGCAGCGGCTCGATGAAACTACTTGCTGGAATGTAAGCATGTAAAGCAGACCTCGGCGCCAAGAGAAACTCACTTATCTACCTGGGTATGGTAGGCATTGCTAGTTAGCAACACTTGTCCACCTGCTTTGCGCATGGACTACCCTGTAGAGTACAAAGTGCCCGGGTGTCTCGATATTTTCCAATTGGGACGATACTGAAATCCACTTGGCTTAGTATGGGCTATTACAAGTAGGTAGGAATGTCGTAGCCGAGATGCTGAAATCATCGTCACGGATAGCCATAAAATGCCGTGACACATGAAACGCATTGTTGTGGTTGGTAGTATTCCGCAGGCACACGCGGCCGCATAACCGGATACGCTTCAGCCCGCGGCGGCTTGGTGATTGACAGGTGAAGCCACGGCTAGTCGAGGAACTGTACATACAGTAACAATGAAACTTGACAGCCAGGGATTCCGTTTGCTTCTCGGGGAGAGGCGGTGCCGGAAACAAACCCGCACCATGTGTTTTAGTGAAACAAGGAATGAGGCAGTTAAAGTAGGCGTGCAATGCATTCTCAACTTGAGCATTATGTCATATTTGTGACATAGTACAGGACGAGACTCTATGGTCGACTCGACGCCATTACGTGAAATGAAAGTGGTGATAAGCCGCCTGCAAGGCGGCATGTTGCAGCATCGATACGACGACGGACGAGCCCGAGTCGAGAGTACATGACAGGCATGGACGTGTTTGGTTTCCAAGTTGGCGATGCCTTGTCCTCGTATCTACAAACCTGCGTTGCATCGTCTATTGGGCCTGGCTCCTCGTCTGCATCCGTGCCTGAACGGCCACACCAACTGATAAGTGAATGTTCCTTTCATGCCCTCGCGGCGACTGGATGCAGAGCATCAAGGAATGTTCTCCCGAGTTGTGTAGAGAGGAGGCAAGCGAGGGATCGTCGAATTCTCCTTCCAGCGAGCGCATGGTGTCTGCCCAACTCTTGCAAGTTGCAACTCTGGGGACGGATTAATGGGTGCAGGCATGAAGCCGAACGGCGGCATTGACTTGTTTGACATGCATACGTGGTACATGATGACGATCAAGGAAGAGTTCCCATTCGAGAGAGATTGGAGGAGGGTTTCTCAAGTGTCTATAAAGCACCTAGCAGGCATGCCCAGATGTTTGGAGTCGCACCATGCAGAATCCTGGGCCGCCGCGATCCCAGCTTGACATGGGACACTAGAAGCCATCTAGCCAGCATTTCCATTTGGTAACAGCGATTGATCAACCACGGGTTAAAAAAAGCTGAACCGTATAGTTATATAGGCTGGATATTTGCAGCATCTGGTCAACGCAAGAAATCGTGGTTGGCTCGAACAGGAAGAGGTATTTGCCTACCTATTGCGATGCTACATATCAAACACGGCGACTGGTGGCTCAGTGTGCTCCGTACTTGAGTACTTTGCAACCCGAGTGCGTGCCCTGACGATACGCGAAAATACATACATCGCTATAGACTGGACAAGTTGTCAAGACCACATGCACCTTCAATCCTGGCACCTGGGGCCTTGCATAAATCATTACGGCTGTAGAATCGAGTTTGCCTCCTTGGGCTTACATAAACATTGATGCTGGGATTCTAGACGTCACGGTCACGCCTGTTGTCGATAACGGCTGGTACTCCGTACGGCCCAGTGCGTGCTGTATTCACTCGGGCCAGCAGACAGCAACTGAATTGATGTCTGCACTTGGTGCTGCTAAGCTGCCAGGCCCGAGAGCGCTAATCATTCCATGTCGGCTTATCGTGCGCTAGCTCGAGGCCTATGGATGTCTGGCCTGGCCAACTATTAGTGCTACCACCCGCCATTCGCCGCCCCAGCCGCCACCCGGAATTGACATTGACCTCACCAGACTTGTTACAGCCATCGTAACCGTCACCCGCTGCCCTTGTCCTTGCTGGCCGAGCCGTCAATTGGTTCAATTGCTGCTCAAGCTCAATTGCTGTTGGTCCTTGCCTCATTCCGGTGCAACCCCAGCACCCCCAAGTCGCCGCCCGCGGACGCCTTGATAACAAACACCACGAGACCCTCTCGGCTGTCATCGTTTCACGAAAGCCCCCATCTCACCGAGATCGAGGAGGACCACCGTGTGCACGCGCTGATAGTTGACAGACAAGAGCGGCTCGGCATCGCTTTCGTGCTACGCCGCTGCTTCAAACGGGCGCATCGTGTTTGCGCCTGCTTCATGACCAAGTCTCAGTCAGCCAAGGGAGCTTCAATCCACCACGCATCAGGCCGGATCGACACGGCATCACAGTCGCCCCGGCAGCCGCCCTGCGAAATAATAAATCCTGCCATCTGCTGCATCGCCTGTGGCCTGTGCAAACCTTATTTGCCTCAATTTTTTCTGCCAGGCCGTGTTCTCGGCTCCCCGCGTCGTCCGTCTCTTGGCTTCCAGCCCAATGGCGAAGCCTGACCAACTTCCGGCCATGGATCCGTTTTCCCCAGCACATCAGCCCGATGAAGGCTATTCGGAGGACCCTCTAAATCCTACCGTTCATCATGGTCTACCGGCGAGTTTAGCGACATTACGGTCACCGGCAGAGCTGCCATCTTGGTTGGCAAGCAATGCCTCGGCGTTGCCAGTGTCTGTCAAGAAGGGTAATTAACAAACATCTTGAAACTTGACTAGTTGAGCGCTGTTGCTGACTGTTGTTTTCCTACGCAGAATTAACACTCGCGCTTCTCGATGACCTTCCCACCTCGGCCATCGCCGAGATCGTCCAGCGATTAAATCCCCGGCTATACATCGATTTCGTCCAATATCTTCCAGCCGAAATCTGTCTCAAAATACTGGGATATCTAGATCCCGTTTCATTAGTTGGCGTCGCCCAAACATGCCGCGCTTGGTATGAATTGGCATTGGATCGGAAACTCTGGGAGCGCCTGTACCATCTCGAGGGCTGGAAGGCGGTGGCGAGCGAGATTGAACTGTGCGAGGGCAGAGTCAACGTTGGTCTAACAAGCTCTATTGGTCACTTACATCGAATCCAGAATGCGGATGGCCAGACCAACAAGATTCGTGCGATACTGAATGAAGATGAAGACCAGGAAATGACAGGGACGTCTCGGAGCCAGGACATGGTCCCAGAACCAGTAGGAATCGAGGGTAGCAGCATTTTTGGAACTCCCGGCTCATCGTTTTCCTCAAATCGGCAACTCATGTCACTCACAGGCGGGGATGTCGATATGGACATTAGTTTTGCGTCAAGTTCGTCAGCCTACAAGGGCAAAGGCGTAGATAGGAGCTGTGGTTCATCAGATGTTGTGCGTGCCAAGCGAAAGGAGCCCGGAGGGACACCGGAACCCTCTTTGCCTCCCATATTGCCTCCAGATCACCCAAGTGCTTCAATACGATCAACCCTGTGGGCTTGGGACATTGGTAGCTCAAGGTATCGCATTAACTGGAAGTATCTTTACAACATGCGACGACGACTTGAGTCCAACTGGGAACTTGGCAAATACACGACTTTCCAGCTGCCACACCCTCAGTACCCCGAAGAGGGACATCAAGAATGCGTTTATACTCTGCAGTTCGACGCAGACTATTTAGTGAGCGGCAGCAGAGACCAGACGATGCGTATTTGGAACGTTCGAACGCGTCGCCTAGTCCGACCCCCGCTAATCGGACACAATGGTTCGGTCTTGTGTCTGCAGTTTGACGCTCACCCCTCCGAGGATATCATTGTTTCGGGCAGCAGTGACTCTAATGTCTTCATCTGGAAATTCTCAACCGGCGAGCTTATTCAACAAATTACCAAGGCGCATCGAGAGTCAGTTTTGAATGTTCGCTTCGACAAACGGATTCTTGTCACATCCTCGAAAGACAAAACCATCAAAATCTTTAACAGAAGACCACTTCGCTTTGGAGAGCTGGGGTATGGGGCGGGCGAGTCGGCATTCAGCGCCGTTGGGAAGATCATCAAGCGATACGGCTATGAACCGGATTTAGCCCAGGAGCTACCTGTCAAGGAACCATATACCATGATTGGCCGGTTGGAAGGCCACGGTGCTGCCGTCAATGCCATTCAGGTTAGAGATCGCACCATCGTGTCTGTGTCCGGAGACCGGCATATCAAGGTTTGGGACTGGCCGGACCAAGTGTGCACGCAAACCATCCCTGCTCACGATAAGGGCATCGCCTGCGTCGAGTTCGACGGACGACGAATTGTAAGTGGTAGCAGTGACTACGAGGTGTGCATTTTTGACGCGCCTACCGGGTTGAAGGTTGCACAATTACGTGGCCACGCGCATTTGGTCAGAACCGTGCAAGCGGGCTTTGGTGATCTGCCATACAGCAAGGCTGAAGATGAGGTGGAAGCCAAGACTGTGGATGCTGAGTATTTCAAAGCTGTTGAGGCCGGAGAGGTGGCCCGTGATGGTGAGAGACGAAACCGAAGAACTACGAGAGTGAACGCAGGGAGCTCTAGGCCGGCTGATGTGCAGGCATTTGGAGCCAAGGTGCCACCTGGAGGGGGCGGCGGTCGCAAGTATGGACGAATTGTTTCTGGGTCATACGACCAGAGCATCATTATTTGGAGACGTGACAAGGAGGGTGTTTGGAAACCGGCCCATCACCTTCGCCAGGAAGAGGCGGCAGCTGCAGCGCAGAGAAACATGGCCCTGGCAATACCGCCACAACCCATCCTACAACCTACTTTTTCAAATCAACACCAAGGGGGCCTCCCAATGCACCCATCTGCTGGTCCCCCGGCCATGCGCATTCCTGCCTCCCGCAGCAGACTCCCGCCCCTTGGGGAGATGAGCCAGGCCAGCGTTGACCCCAGCGTCGGTGCGCAGGGGACCTCCGGGCTGTATATGAACTTGATTGATCAAGTCGTCCCCCTTGGTGCCCGAGCACTGGAGCAGACATTGGCCAATTATCCAGCCATGCTTAGCCACCACAACTACCTGCAGTCTGTCATTGAACGCGAGCCGTCGCCATTGGCACGCACACAGCTTCGACAAGCCATCACAGCAGCGTTAGTCGCCTTTCAAACCGGGCAGCAGTCGACAAGACAACGCCCGGCCAGTACACCGAATCCAGCCTCAACAGCGCCGCCTGCTGCCGCTGCTGGTCCTTCTGTTGCGGGACCCAGCAATCCTCCCGGAATGCCGGCAACGTACCAGGCCGCAGATATCCCAACCCCTAGACCAACACAAGCCATCGCCGGACCATCACTAGCTGCGATACATGTTGCTCCAGACGTGAACATGGCAACGGCTGCTACGCCAATGCCAAATCCTCTTCCGACCCCCACGCCTGCACCAGCTCAACCAGCCCAAGTACCAGCACAACACAACCCTCCCCCGCCGGCGCATCACCACCCGCATATTGCCGGGGCAGAGAATGCACCAGCTCGCGTATTCAAGCTCCAGTTCGATGCTCGCAAGATTGTGTGCTGTAGCCAAGCGCCCGTCATTGTGGGCTGGGACTTTTGCAACGGAGATAGTGAGCTCGAGGAGACTGCTCGATTCTTTGCTACAGTGGATTAGACACTGATTTTTTTTGGCTGCTTTCCTAGCCGCCTGCATGAAAGGGAGTTGCTTCGTGCTGGATCTTATGATGAGATGGGACACTCGTGTGTCCAATATTTTAATTTTTTTTTTGGCGAACTTTTGGCACTAAGGGACTGGTTTATATCTTGGAAAGAAGGTGTTGACACATACCAAGGCGCACATTGGGGCATAGGCCCATAGTTGATGGACCGTGATGGGTGTTTATGGATCGGTTGCGACTTCACTGGGAGATATCTCGCATTGACACGTGTAGGATTTAGGGATTAGGAATTAAACATTGAGTATTTTTAATAAGTCATATCCGCTACGTAAATGCCTCGACATGGTGATCTGATGTGAAGTGCTATAGCAGTGAGTACAAAGTTGCATTCACCCACAGTGAACTCGTGCGAACCCACGCTTGCTATGCCACATTTATCGCCGCGACCTTGAAGCAGCTTAGTTGTTTTCCAACTCCAAAGCCTCCAAAACACCGCCCCATTGGAACATATAGTTTTTGTCCTATACATAAGTACCTAACCGGCAGCCTCTTTCACTTTATCCTCCGTCTGAGGAGGCTCATCCACAAACTCGGGCATTACCTCATCCTGCAAAAACCCAGGCACCGCACCTCCCATTTCCATTTCCAACTCTTGCTCCATCCCCAAAGCCTCCAATTCAGCATCCAGTTCTGCCTCATCCACCTCATCCGGAATATCATAGCTCCTCGCCAGACTCTCCTGAATCTCATTCCCCACGTCCATCAAATCCGCCATCTCATCCTGCAGCTGCTCAATCTTGTCGATATCAATCTTGCCATATTGCTTCTGTAGCTCCTTCTTGGTCGTCTTCATCGCATCGACTTGGGTCATGACATTTTTCAAATTATCCTGCATGCTGGACGCCTGCTCCATGTTCCATACTTGGCCCTCGAGTTTTTCCTTTTCGGCCTCGTAGGCTTTGCGGCGCTGAAGGACCTTGAGGGCCTTTTGCTTGATGGCTTGCTTGCCGGGGCCTTCACGCAATTTGGACAGCTTTTCTTGGTATGCGGACAGTTCACCGTTGAGGGCTTTTAGTTTCGTATCGATGGAGGCGATCCGCGTGTCAATGTTGGTTATGGCGCCCGAGAGAGTGGGCTTTGGGCCAGACGGTTTGGAGCCGAAAATTCGGTTCATGGCGGTGGTTGGAACGCGGTTTTAAGGTGGCCGGAGGGGGGTGGTGGGATGGAAACTAGAGTTCAAGATTCGGTAGAGGCTCGCTTGGAAGGTGTATCCCGAGTCGTGGCTCAGCGATACAATATTGTAGTCCAAAGGCGTCAATGTCAAAGGGATGACGTCCCAAGATTCACAGTGACGAGGGCTGGGCTGTTGGGAGCTAGAGCCGCTTCGTGGAGGGGCAGTCAGACAATGAATGCGTTTGCTGCCCCACACGACCTTGTCTCGACGTCAGAGGGCGGATCAGTCAGCACATGGGAGCTCGCCAGCAATGCGAAACGAAATTTTGGTGCTGGGATTGCTACTATGCCTTTTCACATGCGAATTCATCATATTTGGAAACCTTATTGTTTTTGGAGCTCTTGAAATGATGACGTGTGATGGTACGCAACACGACGCCGCGGCTGCTCCTGCCTCACGTACGATGCCATTTACGCGACCAGCTGTCGCTTACCTGAGTGCCATGGGCCAATGAGAACAGCCCACAATCGCTACTCTTTCACAGGCGCGTTTATTAGAAGCCCCACCACTCTATGGCCAGGGGTCCACAGTGTCCCGTTCAGGACTAGCGTCCTCTGGTACGCAATGATGCTGGCTGGGCCTAGGTAAACAAATGCTAGTTAGACGGATGTATGGGAGAGACTCTGTATTTTCCCATCTTCATCAACAGCTACTGTTACGAACAATTCAAAGCAATTTTTAAATCGCACTGCTCTTTTACGGTTTTTTGATGCTCTTAGCACAAATTCTTTGCTCTTGCCGTTACGACACTTTTCACAAAACGATTTCACCAATCTGCAACGCGCTTGCCCTGTCACTTTTCGATTACTGCAATCGCGTTCCAAACACCCGATTTCGTAGGCCGACCTCATGGACGCGCCTACTCCCCAAATCTGGGGACTTGGGCTCAAGCCCAAGATCAGGTAAGTACACGTTCATGATGGAACATCTAGACATTTATTTCTTGAATTCGGGAAACTGACATGGCGCGTCTCACAGCTTGAACCTGCCCCCGTCTTTCGTTATCTTCTTCCCGGCACCTGACAATGGCACTTCATCTTATGGAAAGAATTCTACCGGTCTTCGCTACACAAATCTGTATGAAAATCTCATATCAAATTCCACAAGTGAATTACGTCATGTGACGGCTGAACTTACTGACTGTTGACATTTGTAGGTCTTGGGTTGGCGTCTTACGAGCACCAATCCCCTTCCAAAGAGAACCAGCATGGCACCGCGTCCCTACCGAATACCTCCCTTCGCAGAACACCAATCTTACCCGTATTGTCATGAGACGAACATGTCACCCACAGCCACGTCTATATGGAACTCGCTTTTTCGTATCTGGAAACTCGGAAATTGCTGCCACCAAGCGCATTGCGGCCTGGACAGAACCGACAAAATGCAAGATGCCCCCGAAGAAGTCTCTCAGACTCAAGTCATTCAAACCAAATGAATTTCTTATCGCATTTTGTGGCGGACCTGAATCCGAGGCTGAGACGACTCATTTCTTCATGAAAGCAAAAGGCAAGTCTGTTGACAAAGTCTCTTGTTCACGTTTGTACTAACGAGCTATCCAGTGGACATTGCCAATGGAATCCTGGAGATCGACCCAGAGCTTCTTCGCGCCGAGCTCAGGTTTCTGCAGACCCAGACTCATCGCTCAACTATTCCTGCGAAGCGACGCATTGCTGGAAACGACTGTATCGAAACACATGGGCTCTGGGGCGGATACAAGCTGATAACATACACCGAAGTCCTTCATCTCACTCGCGTAGCCACTAACAGGGGTGGCACACGGATTACGTTTTTGGAAGGTTCCATTACTGATGTGGCCTACAATTTCAAAGAGATGGGATGTTACAGCACCCGAGAGCGAGTTGCGATATGTGGCGAACGACCCCTGCCGGTCATTGCAGATGAGCCTGAACCTCTGAGCATGCTTGAGCTTGACAAGTTCCAGGACGAGTCGGGCAAATCGCCAACCAAGAAATCACCGCTTCCCATTGAACCACTCAAGGCCTCTCCTCGTTATTTGAGCGATACTGTCATCAAGCTGATGCCTGCGACGAGCCCCCAAGTGGCCATTTCTCCTGTCAAATCTCTTGGATCACCTTCCACACCTTTTGTTGATTCGCCTTGTTCAATTGAAGCTACCCAGAGCCCTTCGCCACTGGCTCGCGTCATCGCTCACGGTGCACCCTCTTCACCACTTGCTGATATTCCCTGCCTGTCTCCCGGCCCGACGAAGCACTTCTGTGCACCCTCATATGACTCTTCGTTCTCGAACTTGAACAACACTACGAACCTGTGCCCGTCACCTCAGCTATCACCAACCAAGGTCTCCGAACCTATTGTGCAGACACCTTCGAAAGTGTCCAAGGCGGAACCTTCAACTCCTCTTCAGACTGCTACTCCACAGCAGAATGGCAAGGCTGGTCTGGGCCTAGTCGAATCCATTCCGACATCGACACCCAAGCTCGACAAATCCTCTCTGCAACCGATTTCGTCTATTGATTCAGCTCAACTGAAGTTTGGGCCCTCCACTTCATCTTTCAACGCGCCTACCTGGCTCAGTAGCACTATTACTAGTAGAGCTAAACAGACCACCAAAAAGATCACTCGACGCAACAGTGAACCTGTGACTCGCAGCCTCGTCCGAACACAGATTGCCCGACGACAGACAATCTCGCCTCGCAAGTATGACTTTACGAGCGAGGGTGTCTTTGTGGCACAACACGAAGCTGCCTCCGATGGTCACAACCCTGTTCCTATGAACTTGGGTCGAACTCCCGAAAAGCCAGCTTCTTCCGAGCCTGCCTCGACCATGACGACACCTGCCATTTCTTGGGGCAAAATGACAGGTCGCAAGTCTGGCGACGGTGTCCAGAGCACACCCGCTCCAAAGCGAGCCGGGAACAAAGACGGCATGCGCAAAATCGACGTGCGCCGACATCCCAACATTTTTCGAGCTTCTGGTCCTTCTCCCGTTTCCAGTCCTCCGGCAATCAATCGTTTGGCTGAGATGGCTGTCGAATGCTGTGGTGGCCAGGCTAAGGTCATGGTCACCGAAGAGAATGGCAGGCTCGTTGTTAGGTTTAAGCTACCTACCGAGTATGCATACTTGTTTCCCAATAATCAGGGCATGGACGAATCTCGCTTCACCACGACCCCTTCTTGCATATCTTCATCACCACGAATTACCTTCGAAGAAGTCAACGAACTTGCCTTGACAAACGGCCAAGATTCGCCACGAACTGAGCAAGCTATCTCGCCTTCTTCGATGCACAATGAACACATCATCTCAGCCGTATCGGACTTGGCCAGTCCTCCTGTGGTGACTGTCGAGGAGAATCAGGGCCCCTCGATCACGACTCCATCACCCGAGACCAAACTGAATACTTCATTCACACCAGTCAACCGATCTATTTCCCACGACGAAGCAGTTTCACAGACGTCGCCCGCCTCTGCTCATCAAGAGCTTCACGCTACTTCAAGTGGCAGTTCCACTCAGCATGGCAGCCAGCCTGCTCAACAAAACCATTACGAAGACAGCCCGGGACGCGACTATATGAGAGACTTTATCAAGCGAACTCATCGAAACCGCCTTTCTACCACAGAAACCGGATCTCCTGTTGCGCCAGCAGTGAGACGTGCACCACTCGGGATTAAGAGTCCCAATGTCGAAAGCCCCCAGAAGGGCAAGCGCAAGGCAGACACCGAGAACCAAGACTCTGACTCTTCTCTGAAGACATCTATTGCTCCTCTGCCTAAGAAGGTTCGACGAGCCAACAATCCTGGCCCAGAGAAGAAATCACTCCCCGATCCAAAGGGAAAGGCCCCCGAAGTTGGAACTCAGAACAATGATACGAAGGCAAAGCCCATTTCGGCTACAAATGGTGGCACAACCACCGACAAACGCAGTGAGGAGGAACAGGCGGAAACTGGCACGGGATATCGCAGATCTACTAGATTGCGAGGACAGCAGCCTGGTTGCACCGCCAAATCATCCATCCCAACCCCTATCAATCTACGAGGTCGACCCAACAGTGGTCGTGCTGGATTCAACCGCACTCGAAATGAAGAAAAGGAACTCTCCAACAAGACTCGCAAGAACACTCTCAAGAATAGAGGCAATGCAGAGTATCCCGCACAGGTCTTGGCTAGGTACCAGGAAAAGGGACTCGGCGAGGAATCCGGCGAAGCAAGTCGTGATCCCGAAGAGCCAACTAAGGGAGCGAATGGCCGCAAATGTGTTGGATGGAAGACTCCACTCGAAGCACACCAAGGTGAAGATGCTAAGAAATCCCGCATCGCCACCATGAAAGGCAAGAATATTGCAAAGGCAAGTGGCAGTGGCATCGCGAAGCCCACGCGAACCATGACCGCACAGAAACAACAGCGCACCGCCAAGGTTGCAGCAACTTTGGGGATGTCCCAGAATGGAACCCCAGCAAAACCAAGTAGAGTTACACGATCGTCGACTCGAGTTCGAACATGAGCAATTGCATAATTACGATGAAAAGCAGGAAGAAATGAGGCGTTTGTTGTTTGTTTGTTTCCCGGATTTCTGGATATCCTTATGCTTCGTTTCCTTGGAGTTTTGCATATTCTTTATTGCTTTCCTTGGTTTTGCCTCTGCATATTCTTTATTACTTTTCATTACTTCTGTTTCTGCATATTCTTTATTGCCTTGCTCTGCTTCTGTCTCTGCATATACTTTATTGCTTTGCTTTGCTTCTGCTTCTGCATATTCTTTATTGCTTTTCCTCACTTGTGGTTCTACATATTCTTATGCTGCTTCGTCTTACTTGGACCTTTGTCCATTGTTATCGTTTATTGAGCCGGGATGACAGCATTTTGCCTCTTAGAGATATATTTTATGATTGCATACAGGCATTGCGACGGCGTTGAGTTGGATGGCATGAAAAAAATTGGAGCATTTTTTATGGTGTTGTCGTGGCAGGGAAAGATACCATTATTATTAGTTTTGTTGTTTGGAAAGCATGGCGAAAGGCGAACACTCGTTTTCTTGAATATCAATACTTGGATAGGTAGAACAAACAAGGCAATTGCCCTCTGTAAATGGAGTCTCTCATAGCAAGTGACATGCTTGTGATCCATCCATCTCATCTATATTGGCATCCGTCAGCTCGCGAGATTCCGCCCGCGCTAGCCGAAGGGGTTTCTGACTCCGAGGCTGTCAACGCATTCGGTGTCTGCAACATTCGATAGGTAGTATGCAAAGATCTCAAGGCGGTATCTATCCGAAGCACGTAGCCAAAAACTTTGGAGAAATCAACTGTCATACCAACAATGGCGTGGCCAGAGGCCACTCTCATGCACCGGCATTACCCCCTTCTCCTCGTATATCGTGTGATATCAGCGCAATCGTACACAAAGCATCTCCCCGTACCTGCACGTTTTGCCTAATAAAGCGCAGCCTGCTGCGAACAGTGTTATCTTGGCGGTTGCACAATCATGGGACCCCTCGTCTTGTCCCACGTGAAAGAAAACTGATCACCTGAGTCGTGATACTACGGACTGTGTGCTCGACGTATATATATTTAGGCGCGGAAATGACATTATATGGTGGAGCCAGTCCGAGCCAAGTCAAATAAATTGCATCTTCAAGAGGGAGAAATCACAAACAATGGTGAATGAGCCGAAAACGGTTCAGCTCAGACTGGCATCTGGACAAGAGCCCGTTACACGAACTATTCTTCAAACTCCACCTCGAGACGCGCTGCCATCAGAAATACCCGTGATTGACATTTCCCGCGTCTTCAGCCCTTCCATCGACGACCGGCGTGCTGTGGCCAGGGAAATCGGAGATGCCGCTACAAACATTGGCTTCTTCTACATTTCCAACCATGGTGTGCCCGATGCCGTCATCGCCGGTACCTATGAAACGGCACTTGCTTTCTTCCGCCAGGACCTGGAGACAAAGCTGAGGGCAAAGATCGCACCGAGCCAGGGCAAGATATCAGGCTATCGCCCCTTTGCCTCTCAACGGATAAACCCCGATGAAGGGGCCGACCACAGAGAAACCTTCTCCTGGGCGTACGATGCTACGTACGACCCGGAGATGGACGACATCAACGCGGTCCCGGAACATGCGCGCAAGTACATCAAGGCGGACGAGTCTCCCTGGGAGGCGACGTCGCAAATGCCCGAGCTCAAAGCCGCACTCGTCGCCTACTTCCAATCTTGCCTGGGGCTGGCAAGAGCCCTCACGCGCTCGTTTGCTCTCTCGCTGGATCTCCGGGAAGACCATCTGGACTCCAAGGTCAAGTACCCTGACGTGATGATGCTCCTGAACTACTACCCCAAGAAGGAGCCGCAGCCACCTGCAGGTGCGCGGAGACAAGTGTCGATGGGATCCCACACCGACTTCAGACTGTTTACTATCCTGTGGCAAGATTCCACAGGCGGGCTGCAGATTCTCAACCGGGACGGGCAGTGGATCAACGGCCGGCCTGTTCCTGGTACGTTTGTAGTGAATATTGGAGACTTTCTGCAGAGGATCACCAACGATCGGTACGTGAGCACTGTGCACAGGGCGCAAAGTCCGAGTGGTGAAGAGAGGGTGAGCATTCCGTTCTTTTGGGGCTTCGGCCTCCACGAGCGGTGTGGTGTTTTGGAGAGCTGTGTCGGCGAGGGGGAAGGGCCGAAGTACGACGAGATTAGCACGCAGGAGTATGTCGCTAGTAGGTCGCGACAGTTGATGACCTGGGGAAAGGAGGCGGACGGGGGGAAGAGTAGTTGATGGACGACTGTGATGGGGTGTCGTTGGGTTGATGCGAGGTGTAGACCTGCAAGATGCTGCGGATATGAGAACACTGCGTCGCAAATTGGTGCGGGAGGATTGTGCACGCGACTTTGAACTTGAGTGCATCTTCTTTCCGAGATGGTTTCATCTGCTTGGTATCGGGGTGGGAATGCAAGACGCGCAGCATACATTCTTTTTGATGGTATTAATACTCCAATCCTTGTAGCGTCGTCCCAGATTTTGGTGTCACTCATACACACGGAGAATACAAAACGCCATCCTGTGCTCGTTACATGACTTCAAACTTTTCTTCCATGTCCACATCGTCTGTCGGCCGTGAGCTCGCCATTGTCGCCCATCCCTGACGAACGGGGACTTGGGACGTCTTCTTGCTCTGTTCAGCTCCCGCCGGCTGTACAGGCTTTGATACTGGTTCTGGTTTGACCTCTTCTTCTTCTTCCTCTTCTTCCTCTTCTCCCTCCTCTCCTCCTTCCTCATCGTCATCATACTCTTCTCCATCTCCATCACCATCATCATCATCATCATCATCGCCATTCTCGTCACTAGAGTCTCCGGATCCTTCGCTGTCCCCTTCGCTACCAGGATCGTAGTCTTCCTCATCTTCGTCCTCGTCATCTTGTAACTGTTGTTCAGCCTCGAGTTGGGCTTTCTCTAGCTCGGTCCCACCTTCAGCATTGCCACCTTCAGCTTCATCTGAGCCTTTCTTTGGGCCCCTGTTTTCAGCAAGTTGAAGCTTAGCCTTTCTTTGTTCTGCCATGCTTCGATCCTGCAGCCGGTTGCGCTTCACGTAATCGTCAATGCCTCCGTAATCCTGTTGATCCAACATGCCAAATTCCAGTTCCTCGTTTGGTTCACCATCTCCCGAGAAAGTCTCCACAACCATGTTGAAAGTAATTTGCAGGATATTAGTGTAACTGATAGCAGCAATGCGGTTCAATGGAATGAAGATCAGGGGCTTCTTGAATCCCCACAGGATCCCGTTCTCAAGGAAGAAAAGATACCCGTCCTTTGAACCACGGAAGCCACTCACATGCACAGCCCTTTCATTCGGTCGGTGGGGCTGGCGAACAACGCTGTGAAATTTGTTGGGATCTGCCGAGATGATATCATGAGCGTTCCCAGCAGCTCGCAGCCTCCTGTCAAATGCCCAGTGGAAAAGTGACTTGTAAGTGTCCGATACCGCAGCAGCAGCTGACGCTTCGGTGCCGCCAATGGTGCCCTCTTTTGGCGCCGTAGCGGGAACTGTGAAGACTAACGGCTCGACGGTCGGTGGATTGGTCCTTGACGGGAGGCATGTTGCTCGGGGGAAGAGAACATAGTTGTGTTGTATTTGCGCCTTTTCTGGCACAGGCAAGTAGAAGAGGTATTCTATAAAAAGTCAGGGGTCTCGAAACTTGATCCCAGTAGCAACAACGCTGGCTCGCAAATGCCTACCGATATCCTTCCAAGCGTATGTTATGCCTGGAATAGGGGCAGTTGTTCCAGGAGCCCTGGCGTATACAAAGTTTTGAGTAAGGCATATCTCGAATTTCTTTCTTTGGGGGACCGAAACGGATATCTCCCTAATATGCAATAGCACGGGCTCATCAGAAGCGTTTCCAGAGCTCACTTCTGCCTGTTGTGTACCATTTGCATTCATGGGAGTGTCGACTTTCCGCTTTTTCAGGGCGGGCTCGCCACCGTTGTGTAGTTGGTCGTAGACGTGGCCGGCGATTTCGTTGAAGAGAGCAATGCGTCCAGGCGAATCTAATGCCGCGATCAGAACCTCCAATAATAACTCGGGCATTGCTACGGAGCTTTGTGCTTACCGGCGGCTCGGTTGATCCCCTCGATAATATCTGGTCGCGACTGGAAGATCAGGCCAAGCCTCTGTGAATCAAGGGCTGTAGACATGGTAACGGGTTCCGTGCTTGCCAATTGACTTGTACAAGCGTGGCAAAACGCGATGGAGAAAGCAATTAAGTGAGCTGGTTTGGGATTAAAGAAACAACATTGCAATCACGGCCATGGCCAGCGCGGCAACAGAAGAAAGCGACTGACGTCGGCGCGAAACCTAGATGATTACATAAGAAATTTTGGGTACATTTTGGCCCATGACGGAGAGATGCAGAGCTCGATGGCCGACCCACGAAGTTGGGGCTGCCCCGCGGAGGGGTCCATTGACATTCCATGCATCCTCAGATCTTCTTGAAGTCAATACGCCTCGCCAACCATCTACCGCCGCCATCAAACACCATAAGAGTGCTAGAGAATATCATCTCGTCTTAGGGAAGGATTGATTTGGGAATAAGACAAGTCGTTGGCAGAGCCATGTCGGCCCCGTTCCCCAATCTTTACACGCATAGAAAGGTGGCCGAAAGCGCAGCCAAAACTTGTGACGTTTGCTACAAGCCAAGCACTTCTGTTCTTATTACGCCAGACAAGAAGGTAGGTTCAGATAGGTTGCGTGTTGTATGTTCCTCGGGTGGTGTTTAGACTGGGTTTAACACTGATGTAGGACTTTTTCTATGTCTGTCCGTCACATTTAAAAGACACATACTTCTGCACCCCAAAGATTGACGAAGCCGCACTCAAGGCCAAGCGCGAGAAGGAAATAGCTGAGGAGACCGAGAAGCTAAAGAAGGAATACGAGGAACGTCAACGCAAAAAGAAAGAAAAGGAGTCAAAAGATAAAGACAAAAAAGACGACAAGGAAAAGGACAAGGACACTGATAAGAAGGATAGCAAAGACGAGGAAAAGGCGGCTGATCAGTCGGCTCAAAAAGTGTGTACTTCATGGGCTTTTTGCGTTCATCACCTGACCTGTCGATAGTCCAAGGACGAGGGATCCGGCACATCAAACGAAGAGCCTCGTGTCTTTGAACTCAAGAGGTTTGAACTCTGGTTGGCCTCTGTTTCATGTATCTATCGCGCTAACCATGTCAGTGCATTTTACCAACAACGGCTTCAAAGAAAACGACAGGTTGAAGCTGCAAAGAGAGATCGAGAGCGGGTCTCCCAACCTGGATACTTTCCATCTGTTCCATCTGCTCCCCCCGCCAAATAATATCATGTTGCATCGTTTGCACTCAGGAACACATGCCAGAGGATGACTTGACCATGCAGAAAGCAAGAGAGCTTGTTATGGGGCATTAGCAAGGTAGTAGTCGCTACAATTATCTTCACTCAGTCGGCTTGCATTCTCATGCCTTTCATCATCAAGGGTTGTGTAGGGGCCTAGCACCGCAGCATTTCATGAACTATCTGAATGACTGGATTGTGTTGCTTCGGATTTCGGACAAACATAGAATTTTAAGATACCCAAATTTGACTAATCGATTTAGTTCCACAGTCTTCTGACTCTTCTCTCATGGGCGCCAGGGCTCCTTTATCACTTCTCAGCGACGCTTCGGCAAACTTGTTCTTTTAGCAGTCTCAGACGGATATCAATTTCAAGGAAAGGCCGCATTCAGTTTTATATGCTAGATGATACTCAAACGTAGTGTCTTGTGAGCAGTTCATCTCAATCGATGACCCCTGCGAGGATAACAGCTATTCGCCTACGAGATTGGCGACCGTGCCCAAAGTCTTATTCGATGAAAGAATCTGATAATCAACAATGAGATGTGAACTTGCTTTTTACCGACCAAGCTTCATCAGATCGGATGGCGCTGATGCGAGAGATCCTGGAGCATCTAGGCGAATCGGTACTCAAAAGCTGACTCGTGGCGCCACATTGCGAATGCTCATCCGTTGCACTCTTCACTTTACAGCCCCCGAGACCTGAACTCCATGCGCAACTTAATGACGAGCTTCAGGCAAAAAGGACAATCTAGATTACACTACCAAGGCCATGAGAAGGACACAGAAAAGTTGGTCGCGCTCACAAGGCAAAAGCCTACAGTGGCCTTGGCTTTATTCGGCCCAACTTTCTTTTCTTCCGACATAAGCAGACCAATATCGTCTTACCCGACCGAGGCTTCCGGGAATCTAGCATCAGAAGGGATGAAGTAATTTTTCACCAATTGAAACAGTGAGTTTTCAAATCGCTATCGACAAACGATAGAGTACATCTTTTGATATTCCCTTCCCACCGAAATGTGGCGGAAAGCTGAGAGTACCCTGATATTTTTTGACGAGGACTTGAAAGTCTAAAGAGACACTAGCTGCCTTGCTTGACAAATGTTGACGGACAATTTTCAGCTTCAGCAAGCCACCCCCGAGGAGGATTCTGTCACAGCTTTCCCACCCTCTTGGGTCGCAATTGAAAACTGCGAGTTTAGGCAGCGTTTTCCTCGCAGCTTGCATTGAGACATTGCGCAAGTCCCCGAGGCCACCTGTGATGGATTTCGCTTCAAGACTTGAAGAGCCCGGCTTAACGCAAGGGGCAAGGCGTGGGATGATGCACTTTGGCATGCATGCTTTGCTCCGGTGGCCAAACAGATGCGATTCCTCCCCGACATGAACCTGGGATTATTTGCGCACCAACAGACCGCAGCTTGCAAGGATTCTGCATTTTGATGGCAACAGAAGTCCCCCAAGTACGGCACCTGCTCCCGGACTGCTACTGTCGGCCGATTCAATTTCGAGCTGTTCCTGGGACATTGACGGTGGAAGTACTAGCCCGCCCGAGTCACCGTACCTCAGATAACTCCCCCCAGAGGACCTTTAGACTTTGCGCAATCAACGGTTAAGCGTGTCTATTACCACACAATTAGTCGCCTATCAAGCCAAGTCAGAGAATGTATGCTCAATGAATAGATTACTCTATCTTATTGTGAGCAGCCGATCAATAGGCAAGGCCAGAGAACGCTTACTCAATCCTAGATAAAGCCATATGCTAGTTATGGAGAATGTTGGCGCTGGCCGTCCGATGCAACCCTACTATGGCGATTGTTGCCTCTTTAGCTTGGCGCTCTGGCTGCAATCTAAAGCCACGGCTATCACAAGCTACGGCCCACATGGCATCCTGCACAGCTGATGGCATGCGGCTTGCTCTATGGGTGCGTTTAGTTTCCTCAATCCATTGATGATGAAGTGTGATCCCAGCAGGTGGGGGCCTAAATGGTTTCCAGAGAGCGATCCGTGTGTCTGTAGATGACATCTTGCGGATGAAAGACGACAACAAGGAGAACCCTGCTACGAACAAGCAAAAAAGAGGGAGTATCTCGACCTCCATCGAAAGGTGCCACAAGACCGGGCTCGTAGGCTCGACGCGTGTCCAGCAATTGCTGATTTGACGGCTAATCAGGTTGGGGAGTTGCTCCGTCCCTGCCGTACGCAACTCAGCCGGGACAGCCCAGCAGCTCAACACATGCCTCTTTCGAGCTCTTGTTTTGCGACTGCCGTTTGACTAGGTACCCCGGCGAGGAAACGGCTTGCTTGATGGCTGGCCCCCGAGAAGTCTTAAGGCGCAACAAGGAGCCCGCGCGGACAATTCAAGTGTGCGTTGCGGCTATGATGATCCTCCCAAGGTTGAATCACCATCAGTATTAGTCGGGGAGGCTTCGATCTCAGCTACTCAGACAGCCCACCCCGCAAAAGATTGTAGCTTCAAGCCCCGTCCCACAGAAGAAGATGTATCGAAAAAAGAGTCCTTCAAGGTTCCAAGTAAAACCATCACTAAGCTTACTCCAGGGCCTCGGCGAGACGTACCCTACGAAGGGGGCTACATCTCCGACACTGGAGGATCGGCTGAAAGTCAAACTTGTGATGTAAGTCAAGTGAAGAAAAACGCATTTGTACTCGGGCAACTTCAGGCATGCGTTTGTCTGATGAAAGCCACCACGGCTCCAACGGTTGACACGTGCTGCTTCTCGAGTCCCAAAGCTGCGTAGCGCTCGCGTCAAGCACGTTAATGGCCAGGCTAACTTGGGCAATTTGAACAAAGACCCTGCTGCTATCGTTTCATGACGGAGACAATGCCACCCAAGAACAGAGCTCATTGACGGGGCTTGTTGCTCATGATGCCGGGCTACGTGGAACGGCAAACAGGGGCAACCGGTGCTTGCATAACGGAGCACCGTAAGGGTAGCAATATTGGGCTTAAATCTGATGTTGCCGAGAATTGCCAAAGGCTTCTTTTCAGAGTTCTACAAGGCGTGCCGAGCGAAACAGTGAAATGTTTGTAGGAATCCCTTGCCGTGCTCACCGCTTAGTGTATGTTCCGTTCTGTATAGACGGGCGAGGGGACACGTCGTTGTTGTCAAGATAGACAAAGGTCAAGTCCGATATAGAACAAAAAGCTATCTACTAATACGCCCCTTTTACCTTTTTCTTTTCACAAACAGAGTAGTCCGCCTTGCAAGCTTGGGCGCCTGCGTAGCGAGCATATAGACTGTTTCTCCAAGCAGGCGTGAAACTGAGCATCTGAGTTGACACAGGCAAAAGCGGCACTGAGAAAAGCATCCAAGTCAACGGGATATAAGGGGCCGGGCATCAAAGCCCGTGCCGTATAGCCGTGGGAACAACCCTCCCGACTATATTGGAGAGTCCTGTCCAAGCGTCACTCGCAACATGATGCTTCTGCATGTCCGGAGTGCCAACTTCAGGGCAAGTCAGGCAGTCTTGCTAGCACGTGCAGGCTCATGTGTGTCAAGTCCCAAGCAGGAGGCTAGGGCTTTTGCTCGAGAGGGGGGCGTGTGCTTGTTGTTGAAGCCGGAGGAACAGGTACTTGGAGCGCATGTACCGTCGACGATGGTGTCATGGGTAGCAACGCAGCTTGGCGATGCTGCGGGGCCCAACCGCCTGGCCGGCATGAGAAGAATGCTGCTATTCAGTCTCCGGCAACGAGAGAGGTGAGGTGGTGGTGAAGGAGGTGGGAGAAGGCTGAAGGAAATCTATGAAACACGACGGGCGGGGGACGCGCACATGAAGCGGCCCTTCACCCAACACCCTTGCGTGCTCTGCGTCGC